GGAGTTTCCTCGCCATTCTTGATGACCAACCACAACTGAAAGTTGGTTGAGCGGATATAAATTCTCATCCGCTCTTTCCAATATGTGTAGTTGGTGCCATCAAAGAGCGGTGGCCTCGAGGTTGATTGACCTTCTCCAATTCCTGCATAAAGATTTTTAGAAGAAGAACCCATGATCGCTTTACTCTCAAACGGTTAAGTTTGGACGCGAGTTAGGCTCCGATACCAATTGTTAGAATAATAGACCAACGCTAGAGGGGGGGTGAATAGCGTTTGTTCGGAGAAATCGCAGGAATTAAAAATTAAACGAGAAGTAAAGAGAAGAGTAAAAGGCACACCAAATTTTACCCTGGTTCACCACAACTTGTGGCTAATCCAGCCTCCCGAGAGACTCTCTCGAGCTACACTACTATCTCGTTAAGCTTGCGGGTGCTTAACAAACCGTTACAACTTGAGAGTTCGAGTCACACGAACCTCAAAAAGGAAACAGACCTTCCTTTGAATCAACGAGAGAAATACTTTCTCTCAACGTGTCTAAGAACACAAGTACACTCAAGAACGAGACTCTCTTGTAGAGTAGATTATGAGTAAACTAAGTACGCTCAAGAACAACTCAACCTTCACACACAAATGGCTCTAGAAAGCTATGGAAAATTATGATATTTGAATGCAATGAGAGTATGGATGTTGTGAAGTGAATTTATGAGTGAAAACCACGGCTAGCCAAATTTATGCCGTTTTGAAAGATTTTTGCCAAATGACCAAAAGCGAAAGATGGTTTTCAAGGTGTTTTTGTTGGAGAACTGTTTAAACATGCCAAAGAGTAAAAACCAATCATAAAAAGTTGAAAACCACTTGGTTGGTTCGGACGCCAAAAACCATAGCCGATAACCGAGAGCCGAACGCCGGTTTCTGAAACCCGAACGCCGGATGGCTTGGTTTTTGGTTTGGGCGAACACCAAGTGTTTTTAATGACTTAAACATGTTTAAAAAACATTTTTATGATTTAAGAAATGCAATGAAGGATTTTAGCCTAAAGAGCCAAGGTGTAAAGATTGGGTCGGTCTTGATCACAATGAAGACCGACTCACGACACTAAAACTAAGGTCTTTGTTCTTGGTCTTCTTTTAGCTCTTGTTCTTGTCTTCCTTCTTCGCCTTGTATATTCAACGTTTGACTCGATCACGGCGGTTTGGCATTATCAAAACTTGTCATAAGAACAAACATGGCTTTAGTACGAAAACGTGACATGCCCGTGTTTCAACACAATTCAACCTCGGATCGAACCATCGACATTTAAACAAGACACAACATTTAAGTGGCAAAGCTGGATACTCAATTTCAAGTATCTCCTCTAATAACCCAAAGTACTCGCCATATTTGCCATAGATACCCCACTGTTGTACACCGCACGCTTTGATCCATATTTTACTGTGTGGAAGCAGTAGCCATTTACAAAGTATATTGGGTATGACTTGGCAAATGGTAAGGGACCCTTGGCCACATCACTGATTATTTTCGGGAGAGGCCTATCATTCTCGACCTGAAGATGAATCGAAAATATTCACGCACATAGGTATCACCTCACATATATTACACATAAAAAGAAAAAAAAGAACTTTACATGTTTTTCAAAGCAATTTGCGAACGTCTCTTCCACACGTTTCAACAGGGATTGTTCACTAATTTTTGGTGTAGACTCTTTAATTTCATTTGCGCACAACCTTACATACACTTGTTAAATCTCTACGAGTCTATTACAAAACAATATTTGTATTCGATGTTAAGAAAATGTAACTACTTACGTAATATAAGGATCAATCTCCGGACAATTGAAGAGTACGTAATGGCGTGCGGCTTTTAGCTCCTCCGGAGTTAGTTGCCTCTTACACGTTTTCCCTTGTAAACGTCCTGGAGTTTGAAATATGGCGAAAATCTCTTGATTTGTAACATCAACACCTTTTCGTGATTCAGGGTCATTACGAGGCACATTTTTGGCTCGCGTTTAAACGTGTTCTTCAAAGTAATGAGAACAGAAGTAGGATGCCTCTCGGTTTAAATACGCATTGGCTATGGAACCTTCTACGCGAGCCTTATTTTTCACCATTCTTTTAAGGCGATTGAGGTACCTACAACCATATCAAAGCTTTATAAACATATGCCCAATATTTTTTGCAACTTAAAATTTAATATTTTTGAAAGTACCTCTCAAACGGATACATCCACCGGTATTGAACAGGCCCAGCAACCCGTGCCTCATATGGTAAATGAATGGGGAGATGTTCCATCTTATTAAAAAACCCGGGAGGAAAATTGCTTCTAGCTTGCACAAAATGACTGGGATATCTGCGTCTAACATTTTAAGATCCTCCTCAGATATAGTTTTGGATGTTAACCTCTTGATGTAGTTAGTCAACTCCGTAATCGCTTCCCAAACAACCTTTGGAAGTAATGCTTGGAATCCGATGGGCAGCAACCTTTGCATGAACACATGACAATCGTGACTTTTCATCCCAAACATCCTCATTTTTGTTGGGTCAACACATCTTCCCAAGTTTGAAACATAGCCATCTGGAAACTTTAACATTTTCACCCAGTCCAGAAATGCTTTACGCTGCGTCTTATCCAATGTGTAGTTAGCCTTAGGGTACTTTCCGGTTTGAAGATCACGCTCCAACTCTTTTCTAGAGCAAAAAAATTTCATATCTTCTCTTGCCTTTGCATTGTCTTTTGTCTTGCCCTGTACATCAATTACGTATTGAAAACATTTTCAAACACATTCTTTTCAATATGCATAACATCGAGATTATGACGAATTGTTGGAACACACTTTGCACGTTTAACTAAAGTCGTGTTCATTTCTGACAGGTTTTGATAATTGCCAAACCGCCGTGGATATGAAGAGTTTCGTTGAATAACTCAAGGCGTGAAGAATGGCATGGAACAAGACCTAAAAGACTCAAGGACAAAGATCAAGAATTGGAGACTTAGTCGAGTCGGTCTTTTGTGATCAAAACCGACAATCAATTCAAGTCTCGGTTCTCAAAGAGTCAAAATAATTTTACAAAATCATAAAATATTTTTGTGCATCAAAATAATCATTTTTGATAAATTTTTTATTGTTAAAATCCCTGGTCCTTGCTCAGAACCAAAATCACCTAAGTCGGCGTACGGTGTTCGGCATTCAGTTTTTTGGCGCCCGAACCAACTCGGTGGTTTTCTATGTTTTAAACCTTGTTTTTATCTCTGAGCATATTGAAAAGGTTCCCAAATAATTATTTCATTAAAACCACTTTTGTATCTTGGTCAATCGGTCTAACACGTGAGAAACGGTCAAAACCGTACACACGTGATTTAAGACCTTGGAGACTTGGTTTTTACCAAACAAGTCTTGGTTTCACTATTTTATAGCATATACAATGTTTTTCAAACTTGGTTTTTACTTTTTGGAACACTTCGTTTTTGGACCTCAGTTTTTCAAAACGGGTTTCAGCTGGCTAGACTTTAGCTGGGTGATAATCGATTATCACCTTAGTGACAATCGACTATCATCCTCTGCAGCTTTGAACTTCCAAAGTTCTGAAGCTCTCAATAATCGATTGTCACTTATGCAACAATCGATTATCAGCCTTTGCAGCCAAAACCCAGAATCTTCTGAGAGGACCAATAATCGATTATCACTTGTTGACAATCGATTATCTGGGTTACCGTTATCCTCCAACGGATAGAATTTTAAATTTTTGGATAGGGAATCTTTTGATAATCGATTATCAATCTTGGATAATCGACTATCAGCATGTGTCTCTGAAAAATTTGTCTTCATCCTGTTGGAAATTCTAGCAACGGATTTATCCCATTTTGGGCTATAAAATGGCACCCAAATCCTCTCACTTTTACAACAATTCTTCAACATTACAATACTCTTTCATTGCATAAGTATTCCTATTTTTCTAAGCTATTTGAGAGCCAATTCTTGAAGAAATTGTCGTGTTCTTGAGCGTTTACTAGTTCACTCATATCTACTCTTTGTGAGAGTTTTATTCCTGAGTGTTTAAGTGTTTTCATACACTTTAAGGGAGGTTGTTCCCTTGTTGTAAACTCGAAGGAAGTTCTTTGTTCCTTCGTGAGAAGTCTTGGAGTGTGGTATCTCCGAGCAAAGGCGTTGAGGCTCGTGTGACTCG